ATATATTAGCTGCAACATATGAATCAAGATGCTATGACTGAAAAAAATTGATTGACAGATGACCGTTGATATATGATTGGCTGAATTTAGGTGTTCAGGATGACGTATAACTAACTGGCCTGCAGAAGATAATGGGGAAAAAAAAAACAGATTTTAAGTCAGGATTTTCTTTAAATAGAAAATTTCTCACTTTTGGGACAATATGGTCTGATAAAGAGGACATTTATATGCATGTTTAAGCCAGAATGATTTGACATTTAAATATGATTTCCCTACGACTTTAAATGAAGTAATAATTACCCATGATGCACCGCAAAGAAGAGAACACAAAATGGCCACAAGGTAAGATTGTTTGACATCTTTAGATCATGACAACTGTTAAGTTTCTCCTTCCATATGCCTATTTTTACACTACAGGTGATCATTACTGTAACCTATAATACCTCAGATGGTCCAAGTTCTACATCATAAAGGATCTGATCTGCAGAAATATCTTAAAACACGTGAAGTTAACAAAGGAGTTGGAGTCGGAGGCTCTTCCACACACTCAGCCACACAGGACACGCACACAGTCGCTCAGGAAACGCAGCTCTAAAGCCAGCGGGGCTTTCTTCTTCTTCTTCTTCTTCCCCACAAGGGCTCAGTTATCTCTGAGTCCAAAACGCTTTCACCAGACACTGATTTCCTGACTTCTCAAACTATTTCATCATCTTTTAGAAAGTGAGACTCGATGCATGTGTCGGTGTGAAGTAAGTGAGAGTGATTGGGAACAGCAGCAGGGGGGGGGGGCGATAGGGCAAGAGGGAGATTCAGAAACGTGGACAATCACTCGTAATTGTCTGGATTTCTTCTCCTCAAACCTGCTGCTGCTGTTGGAGGCGAAGTCGAGCACACAAAGGGACCAACATATCGGACATGAAGCGCGCCGCGTTCCCTGATGAAAGTTACAGTGAAGCTCAAAGAGATAATCTGTTGCAACACAACCATTCCTCGCGCGGCGCAATCAAAGCCTAACTAGGGGCAAATCCGTCTGAAAACAAAGGCAATCTGCCACGGGAGGATAAAAACCTTTTGATTGAAACATTTAGTTTGAGGCGGGGATCCGCGCTCGGCGGAGGAGGGAAGGGATTTGGCTGCTTTGCAGAAGCCGCCGTGCACGTTCAGAGCGGAGAGGCGCCAAATGTCAAGTGCCTGGGACTCAGGTGGAACCGTTTCTCGCTCTTTGGCTCCGAGATGCAATAGTTCAATCCAACAAAGCTTTCAGTGGGAGACGTCCAGCCTAAAGTCTCAGCCGTGATTCTATAGGTTTTGTTTCCAGATATCCAGACCTAATATGTTTTTTTATCTTTGAGTTTTTCAGAGGTAGGTGTCTGGGTCATTTCAGCCGTCTACGCCAAGCCTGGTTCATCCACCTGCATCCAGGAGCAGAGGTGGAAAAGGTACTAAAATATCATACTCAAGTAAAAGTACCAATACTTGGATGAAATATTACTCAAGTACAAGTAAAATTACCCATCAGAAAATTACTCAAGTAATAAGTAGCTAATTTAAAATGTATTTTAAGTAAAAGTTACTTAGTTACATTAAAAAAAAACAGTTGAACAGGGTAGGGGATCTCTCCCATACAGTGAAAATAGGACAAGGAGTCATAAATCCAAAACTATTTAGTTTTTAATTAAAGAAAAATCTATACAAATGTATACACATGTAATGACAAGATAACACATGTCACACATGTCTTTTAAGACCCTTATAAATGTATAATGTGCCATTTTAGAGCAGAACATCCCATAAAATGTTTTCAATGTTTCCACATCAATTGAAAGTGGAATTGCCATGAATTGTTCATTCTGAGTGCCATCCTTCTTTTAACATAAACAGTTATAATTCAAATCAAGGCTAAATCACGTGTTTTGACTCCATAAATAACCAAAATAGAACTAAAATCTCAGTGTCAGGGACATTTCGGAAAAATAAAAGCAAAATAGTGCACTCTGACGGCAGGCTGGGCGTTTAATGTCTAATGATAAAACACGTCAAAAAAACTTCTAACTAAAAAAATTATAAATGACACTCCCCCATTAAAGGAGAAATCCAGTGAGTTTTCACATAGATCTGTTTCTCGGTATTGAAAAAAACCCCCGAAAACAACCGGTTTTACCTAGCTTGAGTTGCTACGGCCAGCAGCTAACGCAGCCTGGCATCTACAGTGCTACACTCTAGGGGCGTGTTCATGAGCCTCCATCATGTTCATACACCCAGAGTGTAGCGCTGTAGCTGCCAGGCTGCGTTAGCTGCTGGCCGTAGCAACTCAAGCTAGGTGAAACCGGTTGTTTTCGGGGGGGGGGGGTTCTCTGAACCGTCCTCGCTCCAGACTTGGCGCCTGGTAGCCTAGATCTACATGCTGATCACGTCACTCACTGTAGTGCTTCCGGGCCCGATTTTTTGTCTTCCTTTCAGTTTTCCAAAGTTTCTTTTTTACTCAGTAACGGATTTGTAATGTAACGAAATACAATACTTCACTCAAAACGTAATCAAGTAAAATTTAAATTACCGATTTTAAAAACTACTTGAAAAATACAAAATACACAAAAAAACTACTCAATACAGTAACTTGAGTAAATGTATTTCGTTACTTTCCACCTCTGTCCAGGAGCAGGTTGGAAGGTAGACAGACTGCTAAACCAACACCGTAGGTCGTCGGCCAAACTCTTTCTGCACCAAAACAAACCAAAACTTTGGGTTCATTTCTCTAAAAAGCTCACATCTATCAACACTGCAAAAAATCTAAATCTAAATAAGTAATTTTTTCGTAAATTGAGGAGGTAAGTGAGACGCTTTGCCAATAGAACAAGACAATTTACATTCAAATAAGAGCAAAATATTGCATTATCTCATTCCGAGCGCATATTATGTAATTATCTTATCTTAATAGTAAAAATTGATCTTCTTTACCTGCTCAAATTAAGGGTGAATACACTTGATTTAAGTGTTTGGATACAAATATCATCCAGGTCATTGTCATTCTATAAAAGTAAAAAAAAACAATCCAGTTTGAAGATGTTTCGCTTCCCATCCAGGAAGCTTTTTCAATTCAAAATGTCAGAAATAGCGTTGAGTTCTAGGCTTTATAGAGTGGACAAAAGTAAAGCCTTGTTTTTGTTAAGAAAACATGCAAATTGAACC